TTTTTAAATACTTTAAAATTACCACTTTGATATTCCTAACTATGATCTAAAGTTTTAGTAATATTAATAAAAAATATTAACAAAGTACATTAGTTCAAAGATGTCAGTTACCTAAAAAATAAAACTTAATAAAGAGATTGAACTATTACACCACTAGTATTTCACTAGTTAACTCTTATAACTCAGAAGTGCCATATTTTAAAAAAAAAATAAAATGTCTTATTAAATGAAGTTACACTTTTCATAGGAAAACAATGCATATGGATTACTATGATATTCCACATGAAAAGAGTGATGTGACCATTCAAAAAAATTAACCACAATTGTCAATGTTAAAAAGGCTAAATACTGTTTCAAATCAATGCAGATGAGACACATGGACTTCTGTGTTCCTGTTCAGATTATCTGAAAATGTACTTAATAACAGGACGAAGTACAGTCCAAAAATCAGTAAGCCTGAGTTAGTTTAAACTGCAGACTATTGAAGTCATGTGGTTTGTACAAAGTGCCAGCACACAACAGTTGCAATCTCTTGAGATCTGTAAACTTCCTAGTGGTGCAATAGATGCATTTTTCCACACATACAGCTCTCCCCTACCCACTCTTGAGAAAGCTCAATCTACACCCTCCCTTCCCCCTTTCTCTCCCTTCCCCCCCACCCCCTCCTTTCCCCCAAACAGACAGGACACAGTCTGGCGATTCAGGGATTCACGTAGGCCAGACTTCCTTCTGTGCAGCCCTTTGGGTAGAACTGCTAATCCTTCTTATTAATTAAAGAGATAATGGTGGTTAACCAGAAAGCAGTATTAATGCTAACTATCTAGGAAACTTCAACAGAAATCATTTAGCCTTTTTGTTGATTTCCTGGTAACAGAATTAGTGCAGCTGGAACTCTAACATCTTGATGTTTTAAGAACTTAAAAATTTAGGAGTGTCTGAACTATATCAGACTCAGAGGAACTGTATCTTTTTGCTGCACTGATACTTAATTATTAAGTTTAAAGCGCCTTCCCTGAACTCCTGATTTAGATTAATACCTGGGGTTAAAGCTCTCCAATTATATCACTCTTACACCACGAGAAAGGGAAGAGTGTAAGCATAAGGTAATCTAACTTTTGTGAGAAATACACTGTGATAGGAACAGGCACATAAAAAACACTTCAAAATGCTTAGTGCATCTACTATTATTTTAGTCTTTTAGACTTCGAAAACATTTCTCAAGGTGCACTGTGCTTCATTCAGTATGCAATGGAATACCTAATATAAAGGTTGTATTTTATTTATGTTAAAAAACATTAACAAAAACAACATGAGGATTAAGAATTCTACAGATTAGAAACATCACTGTAGATATTTTATGATTTAGAAACACAGCAATGCAAATTTTAAAATCATCTGTTGTAGGATTAAGTAAAATATCTATAAGAGGAAAGGATTTATATTATCTGAGGTTCTACTGCAGCAAACAAGTACAGCAGCTTTCATTCAGTGATTGTCAAAAACTTTCCAATGTGCCCACTGCAATGCGGATGCCAACCAACGAATCAAAGGCATTCAGCAACTAGACAAAGAGGGTCTGATGCCAACCTCGGTGCCACTGGCAACCATTATTGGCATCAAGCACATTGTCTGCCTTCCCCCTCCTCCTCCTGGCACTTGACAAACAAAATGGCGGTTCTTGTAGCAACGAAACACAGCATAAGCGCTGCACTGATTGAATCAAATACCACCAAATGATTTTATGGACTGAGATGTAGTTCATACCAAACGATACATGCTTTCTATCGGATAACAAAAAAATATCTAGTTTTGTCAACAGAAATGGTAATCGTGGCATTTACTAATTTTTTTTTTAATCAGAAAAAATAGACAGATATATCAAATAGGCAGAACACCAGAGAAATATGTTTTTTAAAAGAATTTTTTATGCTAAGCATTCTAATGACCTAGGTATAGAGCATAATGTAAACTTTAGTTTTTTCCCCAAAACCACTAAAAGCAGCAATATTGAAACCCGTGTCCAACCCCTTCTAATTTTTTTTACGTTCTGCAACAGAAGAGGATGCTAATAAGAGACGGGGGGGAGAAAACAGCTGAATGTTGAAAGAGGAGCAAAAAGGAGAACCAGATAAAGTTGGTCAACGACAAAACTTGATAGGCTGGGTCTTTATTTCTTCCTTCAAAAGAAACATTGAATACAAGAAGTAGAAACCCCTTTTATAAAGAACCAAAAGGATATTGACATTTCTAGATCTGGAAATTGTCAATATATTGTAACATTACTCCACACTGCAATGCGGATGCCAACCAACAAATCACAGGCATCCTAGGCTAAACAAAGAAGGTCTGATGCCAATCCTGGTGCCACTGGCAACCATCATTGGCACTCTAACTATTCTTCCTCACGTTTTCTCCTAGTCATTTTTTTTTAAAAAAACCCTCTATTTTGTTTCACTTACTTATTATTTTTTCCTATTTCTTTCAGGAATTGTTTTTATTTCTATACTTAATGTATATGACATCATTAAGTAGGTTTTCATATACCAAAAAAGAAATAAAAAGTCATGTGCTAGATAAGCATGAAGTCAATAAAACTGCTGTATCTTTTACAAAACCTGACATCCTTAATCAATTACACTGCAATTCGTCATAACTGAACTGCTCTCGATAAAGAGGAGAAAGATTAAAAGCTTGACAAAAGAAAAAAAATACAAAGTTAACTTAACATGACTTCTTCAAAAGTAGAGAGCCACCACATGTTAACAAGAGATTTACTGCAACGCAGTGAGATACAAATTAGATGCACAGTTTACAATAAACAAAGGGTCTACCAATGGTGACTTGATACAAATAAGTTAATCAACTTTATCTTCCAGTATATTTTCTTAGTAGCTCCTTGTATCTTTGGAAATATGAATGGTGTCATAATGTTAGCGTACGGTTATCTTATTCACGTCTATTTTGACACTTCTTAAAATAACGTATTTTGTCAATTCATTCAAACCAATAATCCAGTAATGCCCCTCATCCATCCTGATTCCCCATTTCAAGTTAAAGCTTGCCACCAACTTAAAAATTGACAAAGTTTAAGAGATTATACCGACCCTACGTTTCCTTGGTTCCAGAGTTGCTTGAACCATTTTGTTTCCTCTTGTAGTCTTGACTTTCAGAAAGATATATTTTACAGACAGGTAAAATGTGTTAGTATTAAGACTATGTCTTACTATATGTATTTCCATAATGTCACTTCCTGAACTTTTTGCACTAAAGAAATTTAGAGTTATAACATATAATTAAGATGTTTTGTTTGAAGCTATCACAGACAGTAAACACTTTTCTTTTTGTTTTCCTGGATCAGTTTTGCCAGATTTTGCAGCCACATCAAATCACTGCAAAACAACCAAATGTTGTATATACACTGTATACTCCTGAGAGAGAGAAAAAGCTAATAAAAACAAGCAGAACCAACTACCGAATTATATTTTTTCATTATGAATAATCCAGCAAAACTCACTGTATTTAATTTGCTTTACTTAAATTATATGATCATAACACACAATTTGGGGAATTAAATATGAATTCAAGAATAGAGGTTCGTTAAAAACTTTACTGTTGTATGTGTTCTTCTACAGAATTAATACAATAAATAAAATCTATAGCCAAATGAAGGTAGGTGCCATTTTACTTTTTTTGTTACTAATAAAAGCCATTCAGTTAATTTCTCAGTTAAATTCCCTAGTTATATACAACGCATCAGGTAACTGTCTGCCATCTGCCTTTCTGCAGGCCATTTCTGCCCACCACCAGGCCAAGTTATGAAATGGCCCACCATCTGTGGCAGTTCAAACTTTACCCAGTTTGGATTTACAGCTAAAAAAGAAATGCTTTATTAATGTGGATAATCAGTAATATAAAGACTTCTAGAGGATGGTATAATTACAAGAGAATTAAAAAAAAGACCTATAAGAAAGAGCATGCATTTCATGGGTTTCAGAAATATTAAAACATATATCTACTTGGATCCATTTATGATTCAGATGACCTGCAAATGAATACTATTATCAATGAATTATATACATAAAGTTTGACAAGCAAAATACTTTTTCGGAATCATCTGTAGAGCATTATGAACAGCTGGTTTCCTTTTAGTCCTATATCTCTAAGTTTAACTGCCTCTTTTTTTTTTTTTTAAGTGTACCTAGTATTTTCCATATTTAAATAATTCTTAAGTAAAATGATGTGCATCAGTGTACTATGAAAATATTATACTGAGGGGAAAAATTGGGCAAATCTGCATCATGTATCTTTGAAAAGTAAAATTAATATTGGTAATTTGAAGTGGTTCATACAATCAAAGAGTGGTTATTAAAATATGATCAAATGCAAACATTGCATGCTATAATTCTGACTATATAACAACAATATGTACTGGGGCTATGTCAATGTTTCTTTGCTAAATCCTATTTTATGTTTGATTTTGCAACAGTTGAGAAAGTTTATAGTTGCTCTTCAGAGCAATAACAGATTGATCAATATAAGCACAAGTCATTGAACAGAAGTAATTAAAAGAAAATGTAAATATTTATATTTTGTATGTATGTTTCTGTGCAAGTACACACATATGCATATGTCAGTAATGATGCTGAAAACAGACCTATAAAATATTAATATTTTCTGCAGTACTAACTGCAAAAAATATCCAACATATTGCCAGTTTTTGACAAAAATGAACTTCAAAGGAACTCAAATATTCCTTGTTCCTTTTGCAAGAAAAAACAAACAACACGTATGTCATATGCATGTGTCAAGTACACGTTTGTTGGAATGAACGTGTATCTGTGTATACGTATACATGCTGACTTACAAATGTGTACATACCCAAGTTTTGTATATTCACCACAGAAAAATGTATCATTGGAAGTCCTCCCTTAAAAGAAAAAAGGCTGCTTGGAACCAGTGTTTGACATACTAACATAGAAACACAACAATCTGCTTCCTACCTTGCTCCTGCACGTAGTATGCCAAAAACAAATCAAGCTCCTTGACTGATACTGTTATGTGATGTGGCTGGACGCAAAGTGCTGGATTTGTGCAATGTGGGGATTTCATGAGTCGCTCTCCATCCGTACTTTCCAAGGGGATGCCTTTGAACAGGATCACCATGACTAGATCCAGACGCCAGACTTTGTCAGCCTGTCGCAGGCAATCGATTCTCCTAATCTTACCCTTCTGGTCAGGATTGGACAATACACAGCATGGGTGCTTCTTCCCAGTAACAGTGAGCACAAAATCCTCCCGGTACTCTTGGCGGATATCTTTGCGCAGTTTGGCGAGGAGCCTGGATGCCCACTTCTGTTTAATTTCAGGCTTTTCACTAAGTAGCTCATCCTTGACTGCTCTTTCCTCATCCTTTGACATTCGCTTCTCATGTTTTTTAAAGTACTTGCGTTTTCGAGCCTGAAGGTTGAACCAAGTATAGGCGATTGCACGGACATGTGGTAGAAGTGCCTCAATGAACGGGTGAAATTCATCCTGTTGAAAGAAAAGGTGCGGGGGAGAAAGAAGAAAACTCAAAGTCAGTTTGTTCTCATAATAAAGGCAATAGAGAGATAA